TATATATATATATATATTATAATATCTTAATTCATGAAATTTGAAAATCGGCAAAACATTTATTTATATTACTAATTAATTAAAATACACTCTCCTAATTTATTTATTTTTATTACTAATTAATTATAATCTCCTAACTTAACTTATTTTTTAAAAATAATAATTAGTTACAATCTAGTGTGTTAACTCATTAAATTTTTTTTCTTGATTGGAACGTTTAATCAAAGCAACTTTAATGCACCAAATTGGTTAGCACATTTAAAGGAATGCGCCATATGGTTTGGCGCATTCTTTTGAATTCGCCATACCATTTGGTGCATTCATTGCTTTTATAAATTTTTAGGTTTCTGCTTTTGCTGCTAATTGCCATTCTAACCCCACTCCTTGAAAAGAAAGTCTTGGAGATTTAGTAAATTTATCTCCTTTGTACAATTGCAAGATTTAATTCAGTAACTTCTTTCCTTATATTATTTTTTTTATAAAACTTATTATTTATTTGAATGATCAATCAACTTATTATTTAAAATTTTTTATATAATTTGGGTTTAACAATGTATACTTTTCAATCAGCTACATGATTTTTTGTGCTTGGTTGTTTTTACAAATTGATCATCAACAACAACATCAAGCCTTTTTCACACTGCATGGGGTTGGCTTCATGAATCATTTTTCTTCATTATGTCATGTTAAGAGTTTTAAATCTAATAAAGAAAGGTCATTTCTAATATTTTCTAACCAAGTCTTTTTAGGTCTACCTCTACCTTCCGTCTACTCTCCTAATCAGGTCATCGGAAGGCTGCCATTTTAAGTGACCAAACTATCTAAGACGATTCTCTCTAATTTTATCTGGCACTGGAGCTACTCCAACCTTTGCACGAATATGCTCATTTCGTATCCTGTCTCTAAGAGTAAAGCCACTCATCCACCTGAGCATCCTCATCTCTGCAGTACTTAACTTAATATTAAGCTTCTCTTTTAATGGCCAACATTCTGCGCCATAAAGCATTGTAGGTCTAACCAGCATTTTATAGAATTTTCCCTTAAGTTTGAGTGGTACTTTTCTATCACACAACAAGTCCAATGCATTCCTCCACTTCATCCATCCAACTTGAATTCTACTAATAATATCTCAATCTATTTCACCATTACTCTGAACTATAGACCAATATATATATATATAAAACATGTACTCTTATTAATAACTTGATCACCCAAAGTCACAATCCCCCACTATATCTATTACTACTAAAATTACACTCTATATATTCGGTTTCAGATCTACTCAAACGAAATTTTTTAGACTGTAAGGTTGACTTCCATAATTCAAGTTTACCTTCAACTCCCTCTCTAGTCTTATCAGCAAGAAGAATATCATTAACAAAAAGCATGCACTAGGGTCATGAAATTGATTATGGTAGAAAATTATTGAATTATCATCTATATTGAAAGTCTTCATGTTTTTAATTTTCATGAAAATTAAGTGTTTTGGGTCATGAAATTTTGCTTGATTTTGTCCATCTTATAATAAATCTGCCTTAGAAACTCTCGACTGCCCTATATAACCACATCCTAAAGCATTTCTTGTTGGATGGCATTACGAACTAGTTCTACATTCTCGCTTCTTCCTCTGTTTTATCCAAAAACATCACAATGATTGTAAATTTAAGTAGTTTTGGTACCTTTTCTATGCGGAAAAATGCTTTCTGTGAGGTTTACTTAACTAAATTTTCCAGTCACCATCCTTGTTGCTTGGAAACACAGTTTCCTAGTTTTGAGGCAGTATAATTGTTTCTTTACATGTTGTTTTGGGAGAGGAATTGGTCTAAAATAAAAAAAGAGTCGAGATGAATGTTTTAATAAAATGTTGAATTGAAATTCATGTCGTTGTTTCTCAATAGTTGGATGTGACAGTGGTGGCTGTTTGCTGCAGCTGATATGATAACATCCTTGGGGCCTTCTCCATCCACATGAGTCTGAACTTTTATAATCTTTCTTGGCATCATCATCATTAGCCTCAAACAACCTAAATCTTGATTTATTTCTCTTTTACGAACTTATACTTGTGTAAACTGGTGTTCTCTTTCCACTTTCATGCTCTAAGTCTGTTCACTTTATGGTAGGTTTTTCAAAGAAATTCTTGATAGTTTTTATAAAGATGGATCAAATGTTTTTATTTTTTTATTGGTCATTGTTTTTCTTCTTGCAATGTGTCGCTCATTTTATTCAATGTAAATGTATTGCCTATCCTTCAGCTTCTTCACCTTCAATCATTTAGTTATTTAGGCATAGCTTATCTTTTGATTTACTTTATGGCATCTGAATTACTAGTTAGAGCACACGAAGTGTTGTGTTTAGTCCTCATTAGATAGTTGATAAAGTATTGGTATAAGAATAGCAAGTGATTGGCGCTTACCCTTAAGTTTTTTTGGTTGAAAATATGTCCAACCATTTTTGTATATATCCCAAATTTACCCATTTTGGTTCACTCTTCGACAAGTGGTTGTTGCGGTCTTTGGCTTCCATTGTTCTTTAGTTGATTCTATTGTGATTGAGCGAAGTTTAGGAGTGTGGCTCCCATGATTGAACAAAGTTGTTGAGTGAGCTTTTGATGCATAATACTTAATAAAGCTTTTATATGAGAGACTGTGACGGTTGAGATGGAGTGATCTCTTGTGAGTGGGAGATTATTTGTTAAGTTTTGAGTTTAATCCTATACATTGGATTGCTAAAAAAATTGTTGTACAGAAATGCCAAATAGCTCCCATAAGTTTAATCTTTTGTGTTGAAACTAGATCATTATTATTTCTACCTCAATTTTGATCTCCTTTTGAATTGTTCCACAACATAATTTATAAGTCTATTAATAATGGATCAAGAATTCTCTTACAAGCTTATGATTTTATTTTGCAGAATGCACTTGAAAGTGACCATGTTCTTGGAAATAGAACTCTTGAAGTAAAGATTGCTACTCCGAAGGTGAAGCTAGGATGTTAGAATGAGTTTTTTTCTTTCATTCAGAGTTTTTCCATCTAAGGGCAATGATAAAAGTTGATCTCTAGTTAACTAATTTGTTTTTCTTGGTCTTGGTACGTTGCCATTCTTAACTTTACAGGAAGAAATGAGGGCACCTGCTAAGAAATCTACTCGAATTTTTGTGGCCAGAATACCACATTCAGTCACAGAGTCAATGTTCCGAAGGTAAATATTTTCTAACAATTGCAGGTTTTTAGTTTTTTTGGTGGTGATGGATGTTTGTGAGTCTGTGACATTGTGTTTCAAATACCACGAAAATTAACCCTGTGCAATGGAAAATTTTGCAGTTATTTTGAAACATATGGAGAGATAACAGACTTATATATGCCAAAGGTGAGTAGTAGTTATGTATTTGTTTATTCAAATGCGTCTTGATATTACATATGCTTCTTTTTCATTATAAACAAGTTGTATTCATGCACACGTGCCTGCTAAGATTTTATCTAGAATGAATCATTTCCTGGCACTTGTGGCTGATGACGGTAACCTTGCTAAAGGTTGGTGCCTACTTAGTGGAGCATGTGACAATATTTTGTATCTCATTACAATCCAGCCTAAACTGTTTTATGTAGCTGTAGCAAACCTTACCCAATTGCTACGCAAATGTAATGCCGAGATGGAACAATTTGTGTTAAGGATCGACTCCTACCTGCTATATCTTTTTCAGTGCTCAATGGTTTCTAGGATTGCATATCTTCCAAAAGATTAAAGAAGCATGCTTGTCAAAGATATTAATGAAATAAGAAAAAAGGAGAGTAAAGTAACTTGTTTACGTTAATATGCTTGACTTAGGAACTCCCACCACAATTATTGGCTCTTATTTAATGCTTTTGCTGGCCAGTTAGTTTGCCGAACACAGTTTAGACACCTCACCAATTCAATTTGCCAAACCATGAACAGAACAGGTCTCCCAAAACCTTCCTTAAAACAGGTACACAAATATAGCTCAAACAAAAGTGACAAGGACACTCAGAAAGTTCCAGGACCTTTTCTCTGACTTGCTTTGTTCTGGTTTCTTTAATTCTATATTGGTTAAGTACCCAACACGAAGCATCAGCTATGGGGGTCAATTGGGCCAGTCTGTGCATGAGGTTGCATGGCTAGCGTACTTTGGAGTGTAATTAAAATGTTTGAATGAGCTCCCCGAGCTTTAGGCTGAAACCCCCTATTTTTAAAACTTGTTTAAAAAGGTTCATTTTGCCTATTCAAGCTTGTAGTAGAATATTACTTGGGTCTTCATCTTATGCAAAAGACGACGACTCATTGCAGAATACTTCTCCTCCTTTGCATATGTATGTGTCCCACACCACCCGAATTGCCTCTTGTAGAGTCATCACTCTTAGAGGAATTTGTTTCCAAGCATCTCTGTTGCAGATGACAGTGGCAGGTTATAGTTTTCCTGTATTGTATTAGAGTTTCATGGTCTAAAGCTTCGGTGTTGCTGATATGGTTTTGAAAAAAAAAAAAAAACAATAAGTGCCCCCTATGTCAAGGATTTGATGGAGGAAATAGAGGAAATCTCCTTTTTTTTCCCTTTTTCTTGCAGTTGGTTTGTTGAGATGAATTTTCTCACGTCTTTTCTGATTTCTGCATCAATGTCTCTTCCTCGGAATGCAATTTCCTCTTCATCTTTGACTATGAACTCAAAGAATTCACCACTGAATTGGTTTTATAAAATTCAATGCATATTCCCTTGATAACTTATGCTAATCTGATAGACTAAAACTTGGAGTCCTTTTTATACAAGTCAAGCTTTTCCACACAACCTCAATTCAAATCTTAGTTTGGCTCGATAGCATCATTGTTGTCCTAATTAGCATTAATTTGCCAATAGAAACCTACCCATGAAGGCTTCTAAAACTCTTGAAATGACTAACATTCTCCATCATACCCAACTTATTAAAGACATTAAATCCGATAATTAATTTTAATAATAGTGCTCCTTGAAATCATGCAAAGGGTGATAATTTAATCTTCGATAGTGCATTTAATTTACTATAAATAGGCTTAAATTCATCAATGAAAGGAGGGGAGAGAAAACAAATAGAACAAGACTCATTGAATTATGTGGAGTTGGATTCCTATTTGGGAATGATGGAAACAACTATGCAATACAACTCTATTATCTTCCAAATCCATCAAAAGATAGATAATTTTTTTTGCATAACATTTTCCTGAGAGAGAAGTAATTAATCTTCTACAATATTCATATAAATAAGTCGTTCACAAGTCGTTATTCGTGAGCCATGCTCTTTGTGGTTGTTGGTGGTATACTGCTCCTTTTTCAAACTGTGAATATCTCTCGCTTGCTATTTCTTCTTATAATAGATGCAAGCAACATTTTTAAACTTATTATGAGACTTACTTTTACCATGCATAAAGGTAGCCCATTTTTAAAAAATCTTTATATGATTAATAATTCCTCAACTTGTTTTTCATCTCGTGCCCTCAGACTTAGAAATCACATCTTAAGGATTCTTTAACATCTTGTAAGTGATTTTTTTTTACAATACAACATAGTATCATTCAATTCTTTTAAGTTAAATGTAAAGAGCACAAGTGTAACAAGACTTGATTCTCATCATGAACCAGCAAATCTATATTCCTCAAATCTTTAAAAAAGGAGTTAAACTTATTAATATGTGATTTTTCATAATTTTTTCTTACTTGCGTAGAAAATACAAAATTTTCGTCTAATGAAATTTATTAGAGACAAGTCGTGTACGAATATTTTTTGACTGGGAATAGAAACTCTTCACAATTATTTTCTCCAAAACTTTTGTCAAGACCTTATTCACCAAATATAACTATATTGTTGAGAGAATTCTTCCAATTGCTTTTTCTCATTAGTACTTGATATGATTTTTTTTTTTTTGGAAAAATCTACTTTCTTATGCAGAAGGCCTATTGAGAACTAATTCGATGAATTAACAAAGTATTAATAAAGAGATCAAGACAAGTAAAAGGCATTAAGATTTATATTGTTCAACAAAAATAGTTGCCTACATTGGGAGATGAGATATTTCGATATAAGCCTTTTAATAAAGATTATGAGAATAAGATTGACTTTAGTGACCTTAGCACCCCAAGTGAAATTAGATATTTTTATTTTTATCAACATATTAGTAAAACTAAAGTTAGAGAGACTTTAAATAAAATAAAGCGTGGAAAAATTGTTGAACCTTATGATATTCCAATATAGATGTGAAAATGATTAGGAGATAAATGAATTTTTTGTCTTGCTAAACTTTTTAATATTGTTTTGAAGACAAAAAAGATGCCAGATGAGTGGAGTGTGTTGGATCCTATTTTTAAAAAAGGTCATGCACAAAACTGTTTGAATTATATAGGAATTTATGTTCATGTGTCATATATTAAAACTATGGGAGAGAGTTATTGAGTATAGGTTAAGGGTTTCTCAAAATCAATTTGGATTTATGCTGGATAGGTATACTATGGAAGTTACACATTTATTGAGAAGTTTGATGTAGAGGTATAGAAAGAATAAGATGGATCTTCATATGATATTTATTTATTTAGAGAAAACATGTGATAATGTTCCAAGAGAAGTGCTTTAGAAAGTTCTAGAAAAGAAATGAGTTAATAATGCTTATATTCAAGTCATTAAGGATATGTATGCATGTGTCATTACTAGTGTTCAAACACAAGGTGGTTTGACTAATTATTTTCCTATTTCAGTTGGATTACATCAAGGATGAGCTTTAAGCCCCATATCTTTTTGATATAGTCATGGATGAATTAAAGAGGTCAACCTTAGAGTCTAAAGTCTTTCGCTTGAGTAGATCTAAAACTGAATACATGAAGTAAAATTTTAGTAGTAATAGATCTAGTGGGGGAATTTTTATTTTGGGATATTAAGTCATTAAAAAGAGTACATGTTTTAGATATCACAAATCTATTGTTCAAAGTTGTCGTGAAATAGGTTGGGATTTTTTTAGTGAAATTTAAGTTGGATGGTTGAAGTGAGAGGAATGCATCGGGCCTATTCTATGGTAGAAAAGTACCACTTAAAATTTTGGGGAAAATTCTTTAAAATGGTGGCGAGACTTGCAATATTTTATAGCACAAAATATTGGCCATTAAAAGAGAAACATAAAATTAAGTTAAGTGTTGTAGAGATGAGGATGCTTAGTAGATGAGTGGATTTATTCTTAGAGACAATGCTAAACGAGTATATACGTGAAAAGGCTATAGTAGCTCCAATGGTATATAAGATTAGTGAGTCTCCTTAGATGGTTTGGTCACATAAAACGTTAGCCTTCCGATGACCTGGTTAGGAGAGTAGATGTATTAGATTTGACTTATGCTAAAAAAAGCAGACATATTTAAAAAGATTTGGTTAGAAAGTATCAGAAATGTCTTTTTCTTATCAAATTTAAATAATAATTTGACTATTAACAACACAGTGGAGAAAAAAGGATTCATGTTTCCAACTTTACATAGCAGGATGAAGGCTTGATAATGATGTTGTTGGCAAAAATAGTTGCCTACATTTTTGAAAGAGAAGAAAGAAATTGATAGATTGTCAGGAAGCTACATAAGATTGTAGGTGTAAGCAGTTTCCATAAATCAAACTATGCCCAATCTCATCGTAAAAGATGCCCAAATCTCTCAATCTAAGGAGATAGAATAACATTCTAATTATGATAGAAATAAGAGGACCACATGGGAGATGATGAACAAAAATAATTTTTATTTAGGGATTTACATACATGCCACTTTATAATACTCATATTATATATTTAACACCCTAAACTTAAATATTTCATTTATAGCATTCAAACACAAACTTAACATCAGAATTAGCACTCCGTTCTCACTCCTTTATTCCTCCCCGCTGAAACCCTTCTTCCCGCGCGCGCCAGACATTCCCACTTCCTTCCCGTTCCGAGCATGCTCTCTCTGTTTTGCATCGCACAACTTCCCATTTCTAGCTCTTACGTACTCTAGCAGAAATCCCTCTTCCTGGTGTGGTCTCTCTGTTCACCGAGTTTGGAGGCTTCGGTATTGCTCTCCATCTCACCGAGGTTATCTAAGACAAGGCTGTGGGCAATAGTTCTTGGAAACAAAGCAATATATCAATTTCAAACTCTAGTTTTCTTCCTTCATGATACAAAGAGAAAAAGGAAATAAAAGTACAGAACAATAATGAGGCAACTTGATGATGAATAGAGGATTGGTTAATTTTATAGAGTTAAGAAGTAAGATATAAAAGCAATGCTAATATGTGTAAATAGCATCCACCGCAAGCGTGAAAGAAACTGTTGTTTTTATCAGAAAATAGGTGGTCTATCACAATTTTGTGGAGATGAGACAAACTGTTGTTGCTTTTATCGGAAACGAAATGACTTGGATTTCGACAACAAGTAAATGAAACGAAAAATACCTAAATCACAGGAATGACAGCTCGCGAGAGGAGCGAATCTTAGCAGGAGTTCATCTACAGGGATCTTAACATGTGGTAGAAAGAGAAAGCAAACAGAGGACTTCCCGGGAAGAGCAATCAAGGAGGTTGCATTTCGCTGGAAGGCCACATGAGCAGTTTGCGTGGTTAAGGCTTGTTGCAGGAAGAGACGGAGTAAAGGTTGGTGGAGACGGAGTGGTAATTCTGTTGTTAAATTAGTATCTGGGTGGTAGAAATGTAATATTTAAGTTTATGGTGTTAAATATGTAATATGAGTGTTATAAAGTGGCATGTATGTAAATCCCCTTTTTATTTATATTATAAATAACATCACCACACTTCCTCATGCAAGTGCCTTGCTTAATAAGCTCACCACCACACATATTTCAGCACCATTGTGGTTGCAACATGTCTTGACAATTTACTACTGTCACAAATTTAAGATTATAGCATTTTCTTTCTTTTTCTTCTATTTTTTGTTCTCTCTCTCTCTCTCCTTTATCTTCAAATATTTCTTTCAAAACCTACCCAGAAAGCCCGTATGACTATTTGGAAATCCCTTAACTACAGTAAAGCAACATGCTCAACAAATATTTCACGCATCTCTAATTAGTCTTCTAAGTCAATACGGTGGAAAATCAAAATCAAAACTTGGTATGAATTTTAACGTAAGAGTAATTCCTTGCCAAGTTTGTAATTAAATTGTTAACTTATTTCTATTCAGTAATTTAATTAAGATAATTTTATATTTATTCTAAAATTTGTGATTATGATGTCAACAAGAATATATTTTGTACAATGCTTTCCATCAAATTACTATAATGGGGTCAATCACGAAATTTGGGCTAATCCTATCATTATTGTTTAAATTGCATTTTAGGAGTGGAGCAAAGTGATACACTGACTTTGCGCATCACTTGTCTATAACGTACAAGAATGCAGCGAAGCACATGTATTGCACTGTTTCATCTTGTTGTACTGTAGCATTTAGTTATTTACTCCTGCTTAGAGTGAAACCCTAGTTCATATTTCATAATTGGGTTAGTATTTGCCATAATAATTAGGCAGGATAGTTTTCTTCATCTCTTATTTTCTCATAGAGTTGGTCATTAGTTCTTCGTTCTCTCCTGACAGAACTAGTCACTTCTCAATATGCTCACTCCCTTGCTAGCTCTTACATGCTTTTTACTAGTTACTGTTACTAGCCTTTATAGCTTTCCACTCACAAGCTTCTTTTTTATAATGCTTTTTAATGTCTAATCTTCACACTCTCTTGCTTCACGATGTCTCTGCCTCTCGGACTATTACTGGTAACTTAATTCACCAGTATATTCTTAATTTTTAAGCACTCTTATATCATATTATTATTTGTATCATTTATATCTTTAATTTTTTTTTGCTTTAGAATAGCTAAAAGTTGCTATTATTGAAGTTATCGTTATATTTGCTGAAAAGTTATTACCTGATATAATTTAAGTTCGTTTAATTAAATAATTATTATCTACATGTAATACATGTAATCATGTATAAATAATACACAACTTTAAACGTTCTAGTTAGTGAAAGCACCACTTCTCCTTTTTGTTTTGCATATTGAAACCAAAAGGACACCTTGTGCATGCAGTTATTCTTAGTGCTTCAAAAACACTAATAATCATGAATAGGAGATGCATGCAAATTTTGTTACTTATGGTTTGTAGGATGAACAGTGTTGACAATCCCAAAATTTTTTTGGACTGATTGGTGGTAGGATATTCATAGTTATAGCTTGATACTTTTAGAATATCAAGAAAATTGATGTGATTCAATTCTTTTTTTTTTGGGTATTGAAAATAATTTGCAATTGTTTATGTTTTTCATATCTTGAATATCTAGTCTTGTGGTGCATTTTTGGATGGTTTCAGCTATAGGATAAGGTGCCAAAAATTTTTCAGAGGGTTTGATATCCATTTGCCCTAATCAATTTTCAAGTTGTAGAAACTAACACCATTGTTTGCAGCAGGGTTGTTAACTAACCTAGCTGAAGATTGGCTTAAACTAATTTGATCAGACATTTAGGCGAGCTGTGTCGGGTTGTAATCTAGTTCTATCCAATTTAGATTTGAGCCAAAGATGGCTCATTAAATCAATGCGATTTGAAAATTTGATATGATTTCTGTGATTGTTAATCTCATATGACATTTTCTTATTCCAACCTTAATACAAACATATTATTATAGGCACACATACATTCTACTTCAATATCATGCTATCTTGATTCGACCTTAGCTAGGCTCAATTCATGATTGATCCATGCTGATCTTGGCTCATTAGTTGGCAAGTTTGCTTCGATCTGAACTCAATACAATCTAAAATCTTATCGTATTTTCTCTTTGATACACGAGTAAAATCTACATCTCTAGTTTGCTGTGATAACATGAGGGCTATGTTTAATAAAATTTCATATTTGGATGCTTATCTACTATGGCAGTTGATGATTATTCTCAATATATTTGAGACCGTTATTTTATAGACAATGTTGATTAGCATAACACCACTTGGTATCTTTTTTAGTCAGCTTAAAATAAAAGACCATCTGCTAGTCAAATCTTTTGTTTTATACTTTTCTACAGGAGCAAGGTTCAAAAGGGCACCGTGGAATTGGATTCATCACTTTTTCTAGTGCTGGTATGCTCTGTTTTGTCTCCTGCTTTGCTAGTTCAATTAGTTTTTTAGATTTCTATTTTTTTCTTGTTTTTATGCTGAAGTACAAAAGTCAATTATGCAACTTATTTTTTCTTAATGCCCATGTCTGTATCTATTCAATTTATCATAGTCCTAAAATTGTCCTAAAATTGTCTATCAACAATATTGATCATGACCTTTTTTATGAATGGTAATCCTTCTGTCTTTTAGATAAAATAGCAAAAAATAGCTTAATAAGCTACAAGTTGGGACATGAATCTTATCAAGCAATCACTCATAAAATTATTTATTAATAGAATGTAACAATAACTATGCCCTATATTCAGACCCGCTAACTTAAGCTTATGCTTGAGTGGTTAGTAATTTAGAATGAGTAAGTGACTTGGTTATGCAATGCAATAAGAGAATATCATTGATATTTTGTTTAATAAATATCCTATTAGACTAGCTATGCAATTTGGATGAAAGTGTTTGCAAACAAAAAGTTCATTGTTAGTGAGTTGAATGTTACCAAATAAGAATGAAAATTTGGATATGTTCTATTTCTAAGAGGGATAGAGTAATAAATAATTATATTGTAGTGAAATATTTGAAGTAGCATAGATTGAAGATAATATAGTTGAAAATTAACTTAAGATGATTTGAGGATACACAAAGGTAAATGATATGCCAACAAGATGTTGATAAAAGTAATTTAGATTTATTCGGAAGGAAAAGTATATGTCAAAGATAATAATAACAATTCTTCTCTAGGGGTTTTCTGTGGGCTCCGAATAATTCCATTTTTTATGTTTTGTGATCCCGGCCTCTCTGCGCCATCGATCTATTTTTCTTTTGTTTGTTTGTGATGACAATGACGTCAGAGAGTTTTAACGAGATTAGGTTCCGGGGGAATTTTCAGAAGGCAGATTGGGTTTTAGATAAGACACTACCCAGAGATTTCTCCCTCATTTTGTGAGGACTTTTTTGATCTGAGTTCTGGTTTCCTATAAGGCGCAAGCTCCTATAGTTAATTACTCCTCCCGATGACAGGAGAGAACTTTCGATTAAGGCTAATCGTTAAAGCGGTCGAATAGGTTATAAACCCATCATATAATAGCAATAATTTATGGTTTAAATCTTAGATTTGAATTTTGAAGTTTAGAATTTAGAGTTTATCACCATAAACTTAAAACTGGTGGGGGGGGGGTGAAGACGAGCCCAATCAAGATCCCATGGTTCCATCGTCCCGGGCTGTCATGATCCCTGGTCTACTTAGTCAGAGGAGGTAGTTGACCCAACCTGACAGAAGGCACCTTGTCGGCAGCCATGGGTTGCTTCGTCCAAAAATACCTTGTAGACTTGGGTTGGTGTTTGTCTAAGGGGATATATCTGAATTCACTTTAGCTAACAGAAGGCTTTATGCCTATCGAATATACCCTATGATTCATAACTCAAGGGTTTGACGCCGTTAGGGAACATACGGGCTTTGGCCGTGATCGTAATATAATGGTGCCATTTTGTGGCAAAATCACCCGATCAGAGGGCACGTGCCACGTCCCTGTTGGCAAGAGACTATTTGAGGATGAATCAAAGTGATACACATGACACACATTCGCTCTTTGTGAGCTGAGGTTAATTTCAAATTTATCACCCCTGACAAACAGTTGCGGGAGGTGGATGATTTTTAGTTTTGAGTTTTTAGGTGATTGATTTTATTTCAAGAATTTGGACTTTTGTTTGATTTGAGATTTGACCCATCCGGTTGATATTTTTCTGTCAACGCGGCCATCATCGGGATGACTTCAAAATCACTTGTATTTTTATAGGATTTTGAGAGGCATTTTGTTATTCAAGTCATGTCAACTCCAGTCCTTTCGTGGAGGATGATGAAACTTGAATATTGGACCCGCGCAGCATTCTCAAATCGTTGGATTTAAGACTTAGATGTGACGATTGGAGCACATGCGGGTTATAGCATTTGACCCTGCGCAACATTCTCGGTCATTAGTGTTTATACTTTTAACATGTTGACCGGAGCACATGCAGGGTTTTACTTGGTTCAAGGGATCATATTCAATATATAAGGGGCATTTTAAAATATTTAAATATGATCCATTTGCGAGAGTGATTTTATTTAAAAAAGATGCTCAAAATTTCATTTAAGGGCCTACGAACGTCTTCTGTCCGTTAGCACACATGTTGCGGATCTGATGGCGTAACGTCGTATTTTGCCTTTGGGTTGGAGTAAATAATTTGAAGCTATAACCACTTAAATCTTGATGAATTAGACTCTTTCTCCTCAAATGACATGCTTTATATTTTTAATTGAAAACTTGAAATTTTAAGTCACATATATAACTATGAGGAGGACCATTTACTTGTATGGATATTATTGAACATGAGATATTGTTTCATGCATTTTTCTTTATCAATTATAATTGGAGTCAAATATTTTAGCAGGTCAGAGTCAAGTCCTGACCTTAGTACATTTGCACACAATCAAATGAATATAACCTCATTATATCTATATGTATCTTGAATTAGCAAGTAATCATCAAGCCTCTAATCACCGTGGCATAGCTTTTAGCTTCGTAGATCAACATAATCAAATGGTTGGGAATGCTTAGTTGTTTTGAGGTGAAGGGCTTGAATGACCGCATGAGAGTCTCCACGCTACTACTGACCAGGTGACCAACCACTCCTTCCAATGTCAATTACTCCCCCAATGCTAGACTGAGAGAGAATGACCACCCCAATCATCACTGCTAAAGCCATAATTCTCTTTGATAGCTTGAGAGAGAAAGGATCAAATAAGGTTCGGTGAACGCTTCCACGATTCTATCGTGAATTCCCCTTTTGGGAACACAAGGATAGTACTACTGTCATCTATAAGCAAGTCACATACCTTGCTATTAATGTTGCATCTAGTTCAGAAAATGGCGTGGTGTTGTGAGCTACTAGACTTCCGAGGTGCTAGTAATAACTTTTTTAAAACACATACAAGTGGACCGCCCTTATCCCCTTTGACGTCTTCAACATCAGTTTGTTGATTATCTTCCTGATTACCACTATGTTCTTCTCCCTCAGCATCCAACTGTTGCAATTGTTGTCGGTTGGGGCAAACGTTGGATTTATGTCTCACTTGAAAACATCGAAAACACTTAATGACTTGAGGCCGCGCATAAGGGTTCTCCTTAGCGAGTGCTGTATTTTTGGGTTGAAATCTAAGCTCAGCAATTGGCCTGGCAGGACTCATGGGAGGATTACTCTAAGGTGGCACTTGAATCTTCTTGGCTGTTGGCGCTGTTTGTCTAGCAGCATCAATGCTCGATTCCTGGAATGGTCTTCTGGGAGGTTGGCTGCGGTTTTGCCTCTCCAACTGTAGCTCTGCTTTAAGTGTGAAATTTACTGCTTCCAACAATGACCAAATCGAATTCAGCTCTAGTTTGTCTCGAATGACGTCCTTCAGACCACCCACATATCGAGCTACTAACTAGTTGGTTGTCTCATTAAGATCAATTCCATAACCTATATAACTCTTATGTATACTCACTTACGAAATGACAAGCTTGTGTGCAGTGTTGGTATTTAAGGTAGAGCAATTGCTCATAATCAGTAGGGAGGAAATGAGCCCGCAACAATTGCTTCATGCGCCCCTAGCTACACACCCCGCCCCGATCTTCCCTTCTTGGGGACTGCATCAACTGTGACCGCCACGCACTCGCACCACCCTTATGTCTATAGACAACATACTTGACTTGCTTTTATGGTTCAATCTCCATGTAGTAAAAAAATTCTCCACAGCCCTCTCCCAATCTAGATAGTCCTCAATGTGCAATCGTCCTTCAAAGAAGGGTATATCGAGCTTCACTCGAAACTCACTGCAATGACGATCAAAGACTCATTGGTCGCTGAAACTGAGGTGCCCCATTATCCCTTTCAGACTCGTGAAAAGCCTTTGGGATGTAGTTTCCCCCATCATCTTCGAAGTTGAACAACTCCTGGAAAATGGGCATTCGCCTTCGTTCGCGAAACCCACGAACCCCATGCCTATTTGGTGGTGTAACTAGTCTCATAGGCTTGAAAACGTTATCTCCGGTCAGAGCTCCCATTAGGAACTCCCATCGTTACTCCACTGCCAGGTGATTGAAATTCGTGGCCATCTCGTCCAGTCGCTTCACGACTTCAATGTATGCTACCTAGAGCGCCTCTAGGTTGTGATCCTCGTCACCCGTCACATGCTTGCTAGATTCTGCCATCTCACCAAGCCGCTGGCTTTGATATCTGTTCCGATGTGGTATACTAAGGAAGAAATAGGTTAGAGCAGAAAAGCACTAAACAGAGAACCATGATTTTCACTATAAATGATATTTTTTCAAGATGACCTCTCTCCCACCCGACGGTAAAAAGCTTACTGTCATGAGGTTTGTCCCCATGTTGAAAACGGCTAAAACTGCAAAAGGGTAAACAATACTATAATACCTATAGAAGCAACTAAGATAGTGGAGCAAACATCATATAACGGTAAACTAAAGAGTAGTAAAATAAACTATAGTTATGGGTAACTATGATGCATCGCTTAAGTAGGCTATTTTTATTTTATGAAATATGACTTATAATTTAGCCGCTAACCATGAATGATATGTATATGCTAATTTATAATGCAATTTTCGTTGATATCTAATCTTTAATGTGAGGGGCTTTTATTTCTTTGTTAATCATTAGGCTATTCAATTGAAATTCGTGAGTAATATATGGGCTTCATGTTGATTTTGATATGAACACTCTTATGTATAAGCAATTAGTAAAATGCTGGATTGCATAATAAGGAAGATGGGTATGTATTTGCTAATCTGCAATGCAAATTTTTTTATTATTTAATTCTTAATGTGAGTGTTTTAATTTCTATATATCATAAGGTTATTCAAATGATATCCGTCAGTTCATACATGAGATTGATGTTGATTTTGGTATGCACTCTCTTATGGATAACAATCAGT